GGAATCAAGCCTTAGATCTCTGACGCATTGAGTGGGTTGGATGGCAGGGAGAAGATGACAGTACGCTATGAGTAAGAAATTCAAATGCCTCCTACCTCGGACTTGCTGCGCTCTTCGTTGAGGATTCTCCTATTTACCTAAACCTTGGAAAGCGCTAGAGTGGCTATTGGCCATGTATCAGATCCTTATGTTTTTGAAGGCTGTCTTGATAGTTCAGGAGGCAAACTGAAGAGTGCGTGTACCTACCTGGAGAATAGTTTCCACTCTTCCATATTACAAGAGAAAAGATTATATTAGCCAGCATAACTAGCATAGACTTGGTTAACTTTTTTTTGGTGTTTTTTTTGTTTTGTTTTGTTTGTGTTTTTTGTTTGGGTTTTTTTGGTTGTTTTTTGTTTGTTTGTTTGTTTGTTTTACAGTGCTGATTACCGAGTTAGGACAGCACAGGTAAGCTAAGTTCATCCTCCTCAGACAGGACCATAATGCTCCACCAGGAGCATAATGCTCTATCCAGATCCATAGCTAGGCAGTGAGTATTCAAATAGTCCTTGCTTTCATCCTCCAGATGCTATAAATATCAGTGATATTTTTGAACTCACAGCACTGATAAAAAGGATCTGAACTGCACTGTTTTAGCTAAAGCCAGCTGTACAGACCCCAGCAAGCCACAGCCCCATTGCCACTCAGATGCAAAGGCACTGGAGATAGAAGTCTGTCTCCAAAGGGTAGCTGCTCGCTCCTCACCGTCACCAATGATACGACAGTCTGAGAAAAGGCAGCAGCACCACTACTATACAGAAACGTTACCAGAATTTGATCACAGCTATCCATGCAACAACATGAAGAAAATAGGAAGACCTTCCTAGAACAAATAACTGTGCTGTTCACTACTTACCAGCATGGATCTGGCTATTTATATAGACCACCACCGTGGCTGTGTTCTCATGGCTCCTGAAACAGAAGCTCACTAGAGTGCTTCCAGACTATTTAAAGGGAGATTATTTAAAGGGAGATTAGTCAGCCTGTCTAGTGCAGCACAGGTTCCATAGCATCCCTGCCTATGATGCCATTCTGATATTGCAATCCTGCTTCAGGGAGGGTGTGGGGGTGGAGGTGCAGGGAGAGAGAGAGATCTGGGCTGCCCCACAAAGCCCCCAGTACAAAGCCAAGAGATCAGTGCCACGGGAGGCCGTGCTGCAGCCTCCTGTACCCGAGTCCCTCCCATATGAGCCTGTCACCTGCAGACATCTCTACCCATGCTCTTAGCCCCTCCATGAGATGCTCCGTGTGGGTGTCACAACACTCTTCTTTTCCTCTTATTGCCACATGGGGATTGAGGGAAGGTGGGATGTTAAAAGGCTGGGAATAGCTGCCATAGAAACAAGCTTGAGATTCCTGGACACAGCACCCGCAACTATAATCGAGGAAAATACTAGAACCAAGTGACTCTTCCATCTATTCAGAGACTAAACAGGGATATGTGTGAGTGTGTGTGTATACACATACACACATATTTGTATATATACGCCCTACACATAGTGTGGGTATTATGTCTGTATACATATATATACACACATACACACTATGTATCCATCTGCAGAGAAACTCTTCCATCCTTTTTTAAACACACTTAAAGTCAGTATTCAGCTTCATCTACCTTCTCCCTTGTGGATCCTCAAGCAGAGATTGAGTCACAACAGTTTGAGTTTCACACAGAATCGAAAATGCAGAATATTTAAATAAGCTTAAAGTTCTTTATATATATATATATATATAGTGTATATATATAGTGTGTGTGTGTATGTATATATATATAGTGCTCCTTTAGTTACTTCTGCAGCCAATTGAAAGGAATTGACTTTTCTCTTGAGCTCTACCCATTTTCAAAGGCAAAACCACTAGCTACACCCTCCTGAATAAGAGAGAAGTAAAATTATCAAATCATCAACAGGACAGCCACATGAAGAGTGTTCAAAAGCTCATACTCTAGCACTGCAGGAATTCAAATCATACACGCCAGTCCCTCTGAGACTAAGTTGCCAAGGGATGCACCCGTCCATGATACTACTTTGTTCCTAAACCCGACTGAAATAGCACTGGCTGGCCTGCAAGGAAGAAGAAGGTGGCAATGTTGCAGCCAGCATGATCTAAGGACATTGGCAAGACAAAGTTCGTAGACTATGGCAATACCTTTTGAAAGACCAAGAGCTATAACTGGAAAAAAAGACAAACTTCTGGGAACACGAAGGCCTGAAATACAAGCAGGAGACTGGAGAGCTGTACACAAACCAACAATTGCTCAGACCTGTATCAATTCAGTCACCTTGGAGAGAAAAGGTAGCTGTGGTTTTGTGAGGTAAAGGGGTGAGAAAGCAGAAGCGGAGTTCATATGGTATTTTTTTCCTAGGGGAAAAAGAGGTAGCTTGTAACCTCTTCCCAGATGACAGAGATGCTAGTGAGGAGAAGGGAAATTTATCATGTAGCCATGAAGCCAGTATTCCCTTCTATGCTTTGGTATTTACTGGAGTTTTGAATTTATTTCCCAGGCTTATCCTTGAGAAGCATCCTGTTCAGGGAGACTGATGTTTACTTGCAATTCCTCCCCAAGGCACCAGGGAAGCTGCTGCACTGAGATCCAGTACCTCACCTCCAGACAAAACTGGGCGGACAGGGAGAAAGACGGGCACAGTGAAAACACATAAAAGAAGGGGGAAGTTAAATTGGAAGAAACCATTACTCATAGTCTGCAAGTTATACAGCTGTAATGATTTCCAAAGCAGAGAGTGTTTCCAGCACACCAGAACAGTCAAGAGAAATAACAACTGTCAACAAATGATGGATCTGATGCCTGGAAGGAGCCCAAGTTGCAGTAAGGGATAGGTGCTGGTAGACACCAGGAGAGGGTACTTGTTCCTTTCACTTCTGTCCTTCAAGGCAGAGCACATGGACTTGTCTATAGAGCAACACGAGCCCTTCCATGTTTATTTGCTTTAACCCTCTCCAAGAAAAGTGACTAAAAAGGATAACATTTCTACTGGCTTCGGCTTCTGTAAAAACTTGTCCTTAACATGTACAGATCCATGCTGAAATGACAGTACGTCTTTAAAAACAAGCCAGCAGAAATGAGGTAATATGCTGAACTCTATCCCTTGGTCCCCATCAGAGTGCTCTGCGCTCTGTGCAGGAGGCAGCTTGTTCTTGAAGGAATTCAGATTGTTTGCTTGTTTGGGATCTAACTCGTTCAGGGAGGTTCTGGGGAGAAAACACAAACAAAAAAACCCAAAAGAGTCACGTGCAAAACCCAACTAAAATTCTGCTTTTCAAGGCAAGCACAAGAATCCAGGTCCAGTCATTCTCTACTCAACATCAGACCTGGACTTACAGTGTTTTCCAAACTTATAAAAGTCAACTAAGCGCTCTGCTGAAATACATTTCTTGTTTCACTTAAAGAAGACATTTCTATTGGGATATCGCACAGGGAGGGGCCAGGAGTAGCCACGTTCTAGTTGTATAGAGCTAAGAAACAGGAGACCCAGTTTGCTTCTAGAACACCTGCTACACAGCATATTCCTATGTGCAAAACCTTTCCTCCTAGCTAAACAGCATGACTGTGCCTATTTCTGCCAAAGCCCAGCATCAGAGCGCTCCATCTCCGCCTTCTTATGCCCCTAGACCAGATTCTACACTAAATCTAGGCTATGGGATTGCTTAACAAGCCAGACAGCACACATTCATTTAGTCCAATAAATCACCCTCAACGTAAAGTCAGAAAGGAGAGTTATCAGCAAGACCTGTCAAACAACAAACTAAAACATTCAGAATTCAAAACTGAAAAGGCACAAACCTGGAATTACTTTAATCCAGCAGCCAATTGGATTAAATTTTTTAACCACACTAGAAACAGAAAGTTTTTCTTGTGGTAAAAACTTCATACCACACTTACAAGGGGATTTTCAGCCTCCCCATACATGCTTTCCTAAACAATCAATCAAGTT